CTTTCACCCACAGGACCCCCAGATTCACAGCGCAGCTCTGTCCTCTGTGAGAGCTTACACACAAACAGCCAGGCCCCTGCTAGCCAAATCACAATGGCCAAACAGGAAACAGGCAACTCCTACCCCCAACCCCCTACCACAGTGTACACACATACCAACCCAGAAGGCTGGTGCTTCCTTCCCCCAGCTGTCTCCGCAGCTGTGCAGGACTCTTTAAAGAGAGCTTTCCAAAAATCTTCCCGAGAGACTTGTGACTCTAATAATCTCTGCGCACAGAAGGCTCCTTTGATTTTAGGAATGAGATTTTTTTTTTTTTTTTTTTTTTTACAGAAACCGGTTTGGCTCAGTGGATAGAGCATCGGCCTGCGGACTGAAGGGTCCCAGGTTCGATTCCGGTCAAGGGCATGTACCTTGGTTGTGAGCACATCCCCAGTGGCGGGGGGAGGGGGGGGGTGCAAGAGGCAGCTGATCTTCTCTCTCATTGATGTTTCTGGCTGTCTGTCCCTCTCTCTTTCTCTCTGTAAAAAATCAACACAATATATTTAAAAAAAAAAAAAAAAAAGAAAGAAAGAAAGAAAGAAGGAAAGAAAGAAAGAAGAATAGAAAGAAATAGGACTTTCTGTCTGCCTACCAACCCATCAGAGACCATGCTTTTTGTTTTTAGTTTTTTTATTTATATTTAATTATTTCTTTTTATAGAGAGGAAGGGAGAGGGATAGAGAGCCAGAAACATTGATGAGAGAGAAACATCGACCAGCTGCCTCCTGCACACCCCCTACCAGGGATGTGCCTGCAACCAATGTACATGCCCTTGACCAGAATGGAACCTGGGACCTTTCAGTCCGCAGGCTGACGCTCTATCCACTGAGCCAAACCGGTTTCGGCTGAACCCACTTCTTGTTGTTTTTTATATATATTTTTTTATTTTCTATAGAGTGGAAGGGAGAGGGATAGAGAGTTAGAAACATCGATGAGAGGAAACATCGACCAGCCGCCTCCTGTACACCCTCCACTGGGGATGTGCCCGCAACCAAGGTACATGCCCTTGACCAGAATCGAACCTGGGGCCCTTCAGGCTGCAGACCAACGCTCTATCCAGTGAGCCAAACCAGTTAGGGCTCACTTCTTGTTTTAATAATAACTAACAGTGATCATATACTCACCATTTGTCATCCATTGTGTCAACAGCTGTATTAATGTGTCTTATCTTGTTTAATCTTCAAATGATATAAATGATTTTTTTTTATTTCCACTTTACACACCAGAAAACTGAGGATTAAAAAAAAAAGAGTTAACTGATTGGCTTGAGATCACACAGCTAGTGAGTGGTGGATCTGTGATTCAAAGTCAAGTGCGTCTGACTTAATCTCTATAATAAGATGCCTCCTTCAGGCAGGCCAGCAGTCTACATATGGAGGAAAATACCAGACATGCCTTTGGGATTGATGGAACCCAAAAGACTTATGGGTTGGGGAAACTGGCAGCACAGTGGGCAGAGAAAATAGCATGTTAGAGTTCCACATTTGGAAAATGTAATTCCTTTGGCTCTATGTCTTTATCTAGTCTGGGATCACCTGTCCCAAATATCTGAATTATTTTCCTAAGAGAGAGAGTGTTTCCTCCTCAGCGCGACAGGGAAACCTTCTTAAGCCTCTCCAGATCTACCCAGTTTCTTTTTCTTTCTTTTTTTAAAATATATTTTATTGATTTTTTTACAGAGAGGAGGAGAGAGGGATAGAGAGATAGAAACGTCGATGAGAGAGAAACATCGACCAGCTGCCTCTTGCACACCCCCTACTGGGGATGTGCCCGCAACCAATGTACATGCCCTTGACCGGAATCGAACCTGGGACCTTTCAGTCCGCAGACCGATGCTCTACCACTGAGCCAAACCTGTTTTGGCCCCAGTTTCTATTAATCCCTCCCAGTCCTATTGCTTCCTAATGCATTCTCTTCACCCCAGTTATTTCTCAATCAGTCTGTCCTCAAGACTATAAGCTCCCAGAAAGGAAGCCTGAGGGTTAGCCACCTCCCACACCGAACCCCATTTCTAATCTGTGCTTGGCATTATGCTTCCTCTTTTTTAAAAAAAAAATATATTTTATTGACTTTTCACAGAGAGGAAGAGAGAGGGATAGAGAGTTAGAAACATTGATGAGAGAGAAACATCGATCAGCTGCCTCTTGCACACCCCCTACTGGGGATGTGCTCGCAATCAAGGTACATGCCCTTGACCGGAATCGAACCTGGGACCTTTCAGTCCGCAGGCCGACGCTCTATCCACTGAGACAAACCGGTTTGGGCTATATATTGATTTTTCACAGAGAGGAAGGGAGAGGGCTAGAGAACTAGAAACATTGATGAGAGAGAAACATCGATCAGCTGCCTCCTGCACACCCCCTACCGGGGTTGTGCCCCCAACTAATGTACATGCCCTTGACTGGAATCGAACCCGGGACCCTTCAGTCCACAGACCGACGCTTTATCCACTGAGACAAACCAGTTTCAGCTATGCTTCTTCTTTTATAATGCCAAGCTGGCCCAACTGTGACCCAGCTTCCCTCAGAAGTTTGTTTTGACTAAGCCATGCCTGGAATATTCTTTTTCTTCTCTGTGTTTCTAGCATTTGAGGCTAGCATTTGTTCCTTTTCTTGATACTTTTTTTTTTTCTTGCTGCAAATTATACTGAAAGCTCTCAAGGATTAGGTCTGTAGCTTCTGATTTTTATTTTATTTTATTAAATATATTTTATTGATTTTTTTACAGAGAGGAAGGGAGAGGGATAGAGAGTTAGAAACATTAGTGAGAGAAAAACATCGCTCAGCTGCCTCCTGCACTCCTTGTACTGGGGATGTGCCTGCAACCAAGACACATGCCCTTGATCGGAATAGAACCTGGGACCCTTCAGTCCACAGGCCGATGCTCCCTCCACTGAGCCAAGCCAGTCAGGGCAACTTCCGATTTCTAATTTGATAAATCCTCTTTCAGCCTTGAGCAAGCACTGCGGGGCCACCATCCTCATGGAGCTGAGTGAGGATAATCCCATCCTTACAGTCTTGCTGGATGCTTCTGTCTGGGAGGATTGTGCCTTCTGGGTGTTAAGACCTCCATTCACTCATTTGACAACTTTTTGAATGTTTCTTTCATGTAAGACGCTGGGGGTGAAAAGGTAAGAAGGGCCCTGTCCCCCAGTGTGAGACAACAGTATTTTCTTTCTTTCTTTTCTTTTTTCTCCAACAGTGTTTTCCAAAAAACCCAGAAATAATAGCAAGAGACCAGCTCCGGTCCTTCTTGCCCTAGATTAAGGTGACCAGACATCCCGCTTTTGGCGGGACAGTCCCATTTTAAACAAATTGTCCCGAGTACCGCTTTAAAAAAAAGTCCCGGTTTTTGGAAAGAATGCACGACAAGCTAAGGAACGGCGGGAGAACAGGAAGGGAATAGACAGTGTTCAGCAGCCATGTCAATGGTGTCTGGATTTACCACTGTTAAAATCTGGTCACCTTACCCTAGATGCATATTAGGAACTTCAGCTACTTATAGTACAGCATGACAGAAGGCAGCCAGAGAAGGGTCACATTCAGGTGCAGGAGGTAGAGTTCAAGGAGGTAGTCAGATACCATTATCAAAGTCAAGTTCAGGGAGAAAGAGATCTCCTGATTATCCGCACCACTGGTTTGCTCATCACACTGTTACATGGTTTGGTTACTTTCTAAGCGAAGGGTTGTTTTCTCTCCAGCCAAATGTTTCTTAAATTTGAGAGACTCAGGTGTGCTTGTTTTCTTTCTTTCTTTCCTGTTTTTTTTTTCATTTTTTTATTAAGGTATTATATGTATACATATTTTACCATTGCTCCCTCAACCCACTCCCATGCATGCTTCCCCCCCCCCAAGAGTTTTGCGTCCATTGGTTATGCTTATATGCATGCATACAAGTCCTTCAGTTGATCTCTTATCTCCCCCATATCTCCCTATCCTCCCCGCTGTCATTTGACAGTCTGTTTGATGCTTTACTGTCTCTGAATCTATCTTTTTGCTCATCTGTTTATAATGTTCTTTATTATCCATAAATGAGTGAGATAAGTGGTATTTTTCTTTCATTGACTGGCTTATTTAACTTGGCATAATGTTCTCCAATTCCATCCAGGTCGCTGCAAATGGTAAGAATTTCTTCTTTTTTATGGCAGCATAGTATTCCATTGTGTAGATGTGCCATAGTTTTCTGATCCAGTCATCTGCTGACAGGCACATAGGCTGTTTTCAAACCTTAGCTATGGTGAATTGTGCTGCTATGAACATAGGGGTGCATATATCCTTTCTAATTGGTGTTTCTAGTTTTATGAGATATATTCCTAGACGTGAGATCACTGGGTCAAATGGGAGTTCCACTTTCAGTTTGTTTTGTTTTGTTTTGTTTTAATATATTTTATTGATTTTTTCTTACAGAGTGGAAGAGAGAGGAATACAGAGTTAGAAACATTGATGAGAGAGAATCATCGATCAGCTGCCTCCTGCACCCCCCCCCCACTGGGGGGGTGCCCGCAATCAAGGTACATGCCCTTTACTGGAATTGAACCTGGGACTTTTCAGTCCGCAGGCCGAGGCTCTATCCACTGAGCCACACCAGTTCGGCCACTTTCAGTTTTTTTTAGGAAACTCCATACTGTTCTCCACAGTGGCTGCACCAGTCTGCATTCCCATCAGCAGTGCAGGTGTGCTTTCAAAGTCTCTCGCATCCTCCACCTTTACAGAAAAGCACTCATTGAAACCATCTCAGCTGTCAGTTTTCCGGAAACCCGCCCGCCCCCCTTGACACCACACGGCGGGGCCACACGTCTAGTGCCACACCCGACCCGGGCGAAGGGGCTTAACCGCTCTGGCCACTCAGCGGCCGCTTCTGCCCGCAGCAGCCGGGAACGAGGCTTCCCATTGGCCAGACAAGCACGAGAGCCCGCCCCCCGGAAGCCGCAAGGCGGCTTCCTTTCTCACCCCGGGTTCGTAGCCTCCACGACGGGGCCGCGAGGCCGAGCGGGGCAGCGGGACCCGGCCGGTTCTCAGCCGACGAGGTCCGGCGTGGGCGAGCCCTCCTACAGCGAGGCCAGGCCGGAAGGCTGGATCAAGCCGGTCGCGAGCCCTTTGGTCCGCTCTTCGCGGCGAGCGAAGGGGCGGGCCGCGCCTGTGCCGCCCCGGAAGCGGAAGTGAAGGCGCCCCGAGTCCTTTCCAGTGGGAGCTCTAGCCGGCGTCGGTCCGTTCCACCCGCCGGCCACTTCGCGCCTCTTCTGCTGCTGGTGTCCTCGTCACCGGCCCGTCCTCACCATGCTGTCTCTAGACTTTTTGGACGATGTGCGGCGGATGAACAAGCGGCAGGTGAGGCTGGACGCCCGGCTTTTTCCCTGGGCTCCTCTCGGCCCTTCGACGCTTCCATTGCGGGTCCTGCGGGGCCCCTGGGCCCCGGAGCCCCGGAGCCGGGCTGATGCCTGAAACCATCTCTTTGGTGGAGTCTGAGGCCAGAGGTCGCTTGGTTCGCCCCCCATTACTATTATTATTGTTGTTGTTTATTATTATTGTTATTATTATTATTAGCTCCTAGTTAATTCGGGGCTTGCTGGAGGGTGGCGCGGGAAGCCGGTCTTCTTCCCCTTCCATTCCTCCCAGTGAGGCAGAGACCCGGGGGCGCGTTGTCAGTGGGAGTCGGGGTTGCTCCTCGCGGATGGCGGCAAACTCGGGGTTTCTCCCATCGCAGCGACTCCCATGCAACCCAGAAGCTAGATATAGCAGTCCCCTGCCGCCGGGATGCTGGGAGAGGCGGTTGTAGGCCCCACAGAAGCCGCCTCGCTTCTTTCAGCAGCTCACAGCCTTGTGATATGTTGGCCCGCAGTGGCCCGCACTGACTTTTCCTTGGACCACGTCTGACTTGAAGTTGGGACAGTTGCTATCCTTGCCCTCGAGTCCGTGTGGCATGAAGGTGGCACCCCTCAGAATCCCCGGGCATCCCATAACGCCCAGTAGTAGTGTGGCACAGGGATCTTGATATTCCGATCTCCTGATTTTGCCCTTAAATCTTTTTAAAAAATATATATTTTATTGATTTTTCACAGAGAGGAAGAGAGAGAGATAGAGAGTTAGAAACGTCGATGAGAGAGAATAATCGATCAGCTGCCTCCTGCACCGCCCCCCCCCCCCACTAGGGATGTGCCCCCAACCAAGGCACATGCCCTTGACTGGAATCGAACCAGGGACCCTTCAGTCAGCAGGCGGACGCTCTATCCACTGAGCCAAACCAGTTTCGGCATCCCTTCGGATTTTAGCTAGCTCAGTGTTACTGTCTCTCAGATATGCTTCTTAATTTCTTCAGTCATAATTGATCATTCTTTTCAAATTGCACAGGACATTTATGTCTTGAAGATAACTCATTAGATTCTCCCTTATATTGTATGGTGTTGTCTTTTCCATCCACATCTGAATTTCTGGGTACTACACACATTTCTCCAAAGAAGTACTTATTTGGGGGCTACTGTTTATTGTACCTTATGCTAAATACAATGAGAGAAATGCAAAGATGCATGACAGACTCTGCCTTCAATGAGCATACATGTGTAGAAAATAGTTAAGGCTGTTTTGCTATGTGTAAAGTGTTATATATGCATATGAGGTAGGTAATGTTCTTCCCATTACTGAGATTAAGAAAATGAACACCAGCCGAAACCGGTTTGGCTCAGTGGATGGAGCGTTGGCCTGGGACTGAAAGGTCTCAGGTTCGATTCTGGACAAGGGCACGTACTTTGATTGCAGGCACATCCCCAGTGGGAGGTGTGCAGGAGGCGGCTGATCGATGTTTCTCTCTCATTGATGTTTCTGGCTCTCTGTCCCTCTCCCATCCTCTCTGTAAAAAATCAATAAAAATGTATTAAAAAAGAAAGAAAATGAACACCTTCCCAGTGCTGGTGAGGAGAAAATGGGAGGAATCGGATAGTGTGGGAATGAGGTGAGGGAAAATAATGAAATGAAGTTTTGCCTGTACATAACTTCTGGGAAAAAGAATTGATAGCGTTTATAGATACTGAGCTCATCACATGAAAAGAGGAAACTGTAAGTTCAGTTTTTTGCTTCTCTAAAATTGCTGCAATTGCATAACTTTTTCATTTACACCTAAATACATATCAAACGTCTGGTTAATATGTTGGAATTATAACTGTATTTTTACCCCTAAGGTTCATAGGGGAATACTTGAGTACAATGAACCCCATCCATTTAAGTGTATTATTTGATGAGTTCCAACAGCTACATACACCCATCATAGTCAAGATAATAGAACATTCTATCCCATACAAGATCCCTGTGCTCCTTTGTAATTCGTCTCCCTCTAGCACTTGGCAACCACGAATTTGCTTTTTGTCATTATAGATGGGTTTGCATTTTATATAAATAGAATCACAGAGTATGTATTCTTTTGAGCTTTGAGTTATAATTGATTTTTATTATAAGACTTGTTTATTTTATATAATACTAGAGGCCCGGTGCATGAATTTGTGCACCAGTGGTTTCCGTCCGTCTGACCTGTGGGATCCCCTGAGGGGTCCCAGATTGTGAGAGGGCACAGGCCAGGCCAAGGGATTCCACCAGTGCACGATTGGGGCGAGGAGGGATGCTGAAGGAGGTTGGCCAGCTGGGATGGGGCTGTGAGAGGGCTCCACATCATGTCTAGCCCTTCTCGCTCAGTTCAGGTCTCGCTCGGTCCTGATCAATATGCCGAACCTCAGCAGCAAGCTGTCCTACCAGTTGGAGCATCTGCCCCCTGGTGGTCAGTGCACATCATAGCGAGCAGTTAAGTGGCCTTAGCATATCATTAGCATATTATGCTTGGATTGGTTGAACAGATGACGGGACAACCAGATACTTAGCATATTAGGCTTTTATTATATACTGAGGATGTGCCTGCAACCAATATACATACCCTTGACCAAATCAAACCCAGGACCTTTCAGTCTGCAGGCTGACGTTCTGTCCACTGAGCCAAACCGGTTTCGGCTTACCTTTATTTGTAATGTAATTTAATTATACTAATTTTTAAAATGCTCATTCAAGGTGTGTGTGTGTGTGTGTGTGTGTGTGTGTGTATGTGTATGTGTATGTGTGTATGTATATGTGTTTATCCACATATACATAAATTGTGCTTAGAAAGGGAGGAAGAGAGAGAAACCTATCAGTTGCCTCCTGTACATACCTGATCGAGAACTGAACCTGCCACCTGTGTGGTGAATGGGACAACACTCCAACCACTGAGCTACCCAGCTAGAGCCAACATTTAGAGTCATATTTTTTAGTGAGTTTTTTTTTTTTCTTCATCATATCCTTTCCATGGTCATAAAGTCAAGCATGATTCTTCATTTCCATGGCTAGATGGCACAGACCTACAGCAATGAAGATGAGCGCCACGTAAGCAGAAATGGTGATTATAACGTCTCTCCCAAAAGTTCTCTTTTCTGACTTGAAGGAAGGAGGTGAGCTAGGGTATCCAAACAAGATGTCCATAGGGGCAGAAAGTGTTGTCTGGGGAACATGGTTCATTGGTCAGGGTTTAGTCCGGGAAGCAGCACCACTATAAATATTGGAGAATTAGGGGATCTATTATAGGCCTAAAATCTTACACAATTGTGGGAGGAGCTCAATAAGAGTCTCAAATGAGAGGTGGAGAATCAGAAAAATATCACTAGCTGAAACCGGTGTGGCTCAGTGGATAGAGCATCAGTCTGCGGACTGAAAGGTCCCGGGTTCGATTCCGGTCAAGGGCATGTACATTGGTTGCGGGCACATCCCCGGTGGGAGATGTGCAAAAGGCAGCTGGTCGATGTTTCTCTCTCTCGATGTTTCTAACCCTCTATCCTTCTCCCGCTCTGTAAAAAAATCAATTAAAAAATTTTTTTTAAAGAAAAGAAAAATATCACTAACTACCTCTTCCGAAGCCCTGTTATGGGTAGACAAAGCCATGCTTGCCTTGGAATTGGGCAGAATTTCAAATCTTCCTGATGGAGTGGGACCACACCAAAGCAGAGGAGATGAAACGTGTTGACTCTACACGGGTCTCTATTAGACAGATGCGCTGGCCATGGGGTAGGGGAGAGTGAGGACAAGCTGGATTCTGCCAGGCCCTTAATGATGTCTCTTACCACCTCTAACCACAGTTAACTTCAACAAAATAGCAGTTGGTTCCCTTTTCACTTTCTAGATTTTGGGGCAGATTTCTCTTTTTGGCCAACCCACCCGGACCAGGGAAGGGGGTTGGGGAAAACTAGTTCAGCTTTGTTAGCCAAGTTGGCAAAGTATAAAACTATAGTCAATCCGTTATCTGCTCAGCATCTAGAGAACTCTTTTTTCCCCCCTCTAAAATATAATTTTTTAAAATATATTTTATTTACTTTTTTTTACAGAGAGGAAGGGAGAGGAATAGCCTCAATGAGCCTTTGACCGGAATCGAACCCTGGACCTTTCAGTCCGCAGGCCAACGCTCTATCCACTGAGCCACACTGGTTTCAGCAGAGGGCCCATTTTTTGTTTGATTTTTTTTTCTTTTTGTTTTCTGTCTTTTGTTTCATTCTTTCTTTTTTTTTTTTTTTTTTTTTCCTCACTCAAGTATATTTTTTCTATTGAATTTTAGAGAGAGTAGAAGGAAGAGGGAGAGACAGAGAAGCACTGATATGAGACACATTGATTGGTTGCCGCCCGCATGCCCTTGACCAGGGCTGGAGTCTGCAACCAAGGTATGTGCCCTTGACTGGAATCGAACCCAGGACCCTTTGGTCCACAAGCCAGCGCTCTGTCCACTGAGCCAAACTGGCTAGGGTTCTCTTCTTTTTTTTTTTTTTTAACAGTATTTCTTTTCTGTGAGTTATTTTGGGTTTCATTTGCTTTTCCTAGTGTTTTAAGATAGAAGTTTACTTTGGGAAAGCTACAAATATTTGTAAATTAAACAGTGTATTTCTAAATAACCCACAGGTCAAAGGAGAATCGCAAGGGAAATTACAAAATATTTGAACTGAGTGTAAACAAAAACACAACATATAATTTGAAGCCTTTATTGCTTTAAAATTCCCTCTTTGTACTACGTTAGGTATCTCCCACAACCTTTTAATTTTTTATTTTTTACCCTCACAGATTTTAAATAAGAAAAAAAGCATGTTTACCAACATATACTATATCTAGTGTGCTTCATTTCCGTGTGTAAATCCAGATTTCATTTGGTATTTTCTTTTTTCTTTTTTTTTAATATATATTTTATTGATTTTTGTACAGAGAGAAAGGGAGAGAGATAGAGAGTTAGAAACATCAATGAGAGAGAGTCATCGATCAGCTGCCTCTTGCACACCCCCTACTGGGGATATGCCCACAACCAAGGTACATGCCCTTGACCGGAATCGAACCTGGGACCTTTCAGTCCCCAAGCCGACGCTCTATCCATTGAGCCAAACCGGTCCTGGCTGGTATTTTCTTTTTGCTTGGAGAACTTTTAAAAACTTTTTTCATAATGTAAGTATACTCAATTATATTTGAATTTTTGTGCCTTTGGAAAAGGTTTAATTTTGTCTCTATTTTTTTTTTTTAATATGCTTTTATTGATTCCAAAGAGGGGGAGAGAGTAACATCAATGATGAGACAGAATCATTGATTGGCTGCCTCCTTCACACACACCCCCACTGGAGATTTAGCCTACAACTCAGTCATGTGCCCTGACCTGGAATCGAACTGTGATCTCCTGGTTCATAGGTCAACACTCAACCACTGAGCCATGCTGGGTAGGCATGTTTCCATTCTTTGAAAAGGTTTTTTTTATTGATTTTTAATGAGAGAGAAAGAGGGGGAGAGAGAGAGAAACGTTGATGTGAGAGGGAACCGTTGATCTGTTGCTTCCTTCATGCCTTGTATCTGGGATCAGGCCTGAAACCTGGGTTTGTGCCCTGATTGGGAATCTGTACCCACAACCTTTAGATGCACAGGACAACACCCAATGAACTGAGCCATACTGGCAAGGGCCTGCCTTTGTGTGTTTTTTTAATCTCTATTTTGAAAATATTACAGATGCTTTCCCTCGCATTCATCCCCCTTCCTTGCCTTTCTTTTTGTTTGTTAATCCTCACCCGAGGATATTTTTCCATTGATTTTTATTTTTATTTTTTTAAAATATATTTTATTGATTTTGTACATAGAGGAAGGGAGAGAGACAGAGAGTTAGAAACATCGATGAGAGAGAGTCATAGATCAGCTGCCTCTGGCACACCCCCCACTGGGGATATGCCCGCAACCAAGGTACATGCCCCTGACCAGAATCGAACCCGGGGCCCTTCAGTCCCCAAGCCGATGCTCTATCTATTGAGCCAAACTGGTCCCGGCTCCATTGATTTTTAGAGAGAATGGAAGTGTGGGGAAAGAGAGAGACGAGATGTCAATTGGTTGCCTTCCACCTGCACCTGAGCAGGGCTGGAAATTGATCACGCCTGCAACAGAAGTGCATGCCCTTGGCCAGGATTGAACCTGGAACCCTTCAGTCCACAGGCCAGTGCTCTATCCGCTGAGCAGAACTGGCCAGGACATTGCCTTCATTTTTTTATTTTTATTTTTTAATATATTTTATTGATTTTTTTTACAGAGAGGAAGGGAGAGAGATAGAGAGCTAGAAACGTCGATGAGAGAGAAACATCGACCAGCTGCCTCTTGCACACCCCCTACCGGGGATGTGCCCCCTTGACCGGAATCGAACCTGGGACCTTTCAGTCCGCAGACCAACGCTCTACCACTGAGCCAAACTGGTTTCGGCCGCCTTCATTTTTGCAAGGAATTTCTCCAGGTATAGAATTTTAGGTTGATAGGTGTGTTTTTTTCTTCCTACTTTCAAGAAGTCTGCTGTTATTTCAAGAGCTCAAGCTATTATTCCTGTCCCATATGAACGCCGAGAATTGTTCCATGTTCCCCTTTAGACGGTTCTTTTGCATCCCTGGTAATTCCCTCAGAGGCACGTGCTGATCGTCGCTGGCCGTCTTTCTGCCGAGGACCTGAGCAGAGACCCCCTGCAGACCTTCCTGTAGCGCTCATTCCCATCCTGCCCCGGGCCTCTAGCTCCCATTGCCTCCTCAGCTCCCAGTTCTTTCTCCTCCCTCTTCCTGCCACTCCTCCAGGCTCTGTCTGCATTCCCCTTTGCCCTTGTTCTAGAAACTCTCCAGTCTGTCCATTGGGGCGAGTCCCTCCTTTCTAAGCAGTCACAGTCCTGGGCTACGTGGATGCAGTCAATGAGAGAGAAACATCGACCAGCTGCCTCTTGCAATCTCTGAGACCCTTTGTTTCATCTGTTTTGTCCAGTTGCTTAGTTCAGGGAGGTTAACTGGGCCCCGTTACTCCACCTTGGCCTAAACATCCTACTTTTGAGATGCATCTGTGTTGTACGTATCACTAGTTCATTCTTTCTCTTCCTGAACAGTATCCTAGTGTGTGGAAATATTGCAGCGTATTCACTGTTGATGGACATTTGTTTGTTTGTTTGTTTTTACCAATAGGAGGCTATTATGAATGAAGCTACTGTAACCTGTGGAATGAATAGATACGTTTTCATTTGTCAGATTATAAAGCAGTCTTAACGGATTTTTTTTTTAAATGAGACTTGTGTTACTGATATTATGCTTCTTCTGAGAGTTAGGAGGCAGGGAGATTGGGGTTATGGCTTATGAGTCTGTTAGTTTGAGGGCCTAAGATAAGACTTTAGGTCAACTGCTAGTTTATTTTATTTATTTATTTATTTATTTTATCCTCACCATAGAAGTGAAGATATTTTTTCCAGTGAAGATATTTTTTCCAATATCTCTTTTTAGAGAGCTGGAAAGGGAAAGGGGAAGGGGGGAGAACATATAATGATGTGACACTTCAATTGGTTTGCCTTCCACACGCACCCTGACCCGGGCCCAGTTAGTACATGCCCTTTGAGTGCCCTTGACCAGAATTGAACCACATCCCTTGGGTGCACAGGCCGGCGCCCTAACCATTGAGCAATGCCACCCAGAGCAGGTCAACTGCTCTTTTGTAGCTCTGACACATTTTGCTTCCATGGTCACTTCTGTCTTTGCTTAAAATTGCAGGAAGTCTGACTTCTATGAAAATATCCTATATGGCCGAAACCGGTGTGGCTCAGTGGATAGAGCATTGGTCTGCGGACTGAAAGGTCCCAGGTTCGATTCCGGTCAAGGGCTTGTACGTTGGTTGCTGGCACATCCCCGGTAGGGGGTGTGCAAGAGGCAGCTGGTCGATGTTTCTCTCTCATTGACGTTTCTAGTTCTCTATCTCTCTCCCTTCCTCTCCGTAAAAAATCAATAAAAAAAAGTATATATATAAAAAAAAGAATCAGTTTGTCACTGTTGGCTGGTATGTATCATGAATGTGATTGGTTTTAAGCTGAAAGATTGTGAAAGTACAAATGAAATAACTTATGGGAAAGGTTCTGGAAAGAATAAAAGTTATATACCTAAATGTAACCTATTTTAGTCAACAAAATGGAGCAAGGTACTTGGGATGAGAGAGAAGGCTGATTGTGTAATTATTACAGTGTTTTAAAGATTCTCGGAATTTTAGCTGCTGTAATAGGGCTAATTGAAACCTTTATTTTTATATATATATTTTTAAGTCATCTTTTTAATATATTTTATTGATTTTTTACAGAGAGGAAGAGAGTGGAATAGAGAGTTAGAAACATCAATGAGAGAATCATCAATCAGCTGCCTCTTGCACTCCCCCTACTGGGGATGTGCCCGCAACCAAAGTACGTGCCCTTGATGGGAATCGAACCCGGGGACCTTTCAGTCCGCAGGCCAACGCCGACGCTCTATCCATTGAGCCAAACCGGTTTCAGCTATTTTTATATTTTTCAAATTAATTTTTTACAGAGAGAAAGAGAGGAGAGAGAAACACTGATGAGAGAGAAACATCGATCAGCTGCCTCCTGCACACCCCCCTCTGAGGATGTGCCCACAACCAAGGTACATGCCCTTGACCGGAATCGAACCCGGGACCTTTCAGTCTGCAGACCGACGCTCTATCCACTGAACCACACCGGTTAGGGCTACTTGAAACCTTTAAATTGATACTACTCTCTGCTCTTTCCTGGGAGGGGATCGTCATAGATCTAATCTCTTCTCCTTTGTCCTTACAGCTGTATTACCAAGTCCTAAATTTTGGAATGATTGTCTCCTCGGCACTAATGATCTGGAAGGGGCTCATGGTCATAACCGGAAGTGAAAGTCCGATTGTAGTGGTGCTCAGGTAATGATTTTCCTTTTCAAGGCATGGCATTGCTGGGGAGAAATATCGAGACATTGAATAATTCTTGTATCATTCCTCTAGAAACTACTTCCCGGGAGAGGGCCTACAAGAAAATAACTGTCTCTAAATTGGCAGACATTCTCAAAGGGCTCCTGACCTCTCCACAAAATATTTACTATGTGAGCTTTGTTTTCAGCACAACTCTTAAGAAAATGTTTCAATGTACTTTATTTTCCTGCAGTTCTTCTGTCTTTTTTTTTTAAATATTTTTTATTGATTTCTTAAAGAGAGGAAGGGAGAGAGATAGAGAGTTAGAAACATCGATGTGTGAGAGAAACATCGATCAGCTGCCTCTTGCACACACACACACACACCCCACTGGGGATGTGCCCACAACCTAGGTACATGCCCTTGACCGGAGTTGAACCTGGGGCCTTTCAGTCCGCAGGCCGACGCTCTATCCTCTGAGCCAAACCGGTTTCGGCTTTCTGTCTTCTTGCTTTTCACTTTGATACATTAAGCTGGTATTTAGCTGTTAGTTTGCTAGATTATGTATCATGTCCAAAGGAATTGTTTTTCTGCAAGATATTCTCATTGTCGGTGCAGAAGCATCGCTAATTATTTCCATGTTTCCTGCTGACCTTTAAATATCACTTCTAAATAGATTTCAGGAATCTTGAATATACTGATGCCTTCTCTTTTTTATTTTTTTATTTTTTTATATATATTTTATTGATTTTCTTTTTTTTTTACAGAGAGGAAGGGAAAGGGAGAGGGATAGAGAGAAACATCGATGAGAGAGAAACATTGACCAGCTGCCTCCTGCACACCCCCCACCGGGGATGTGCCCGCAACCAAGATACATGCCTTTGACCGGAATCGAACCCGGGACCTTTCAGTCAGGGCTGAGAATCCACTTTTAGGATCTTTGTGAAGCCATTAGAGATAAAGACAAATACTTATTATTTTATTAATTGACGTTTCAGAGAACATAAAAACTTTGCTCTTTAGAGAGCTGAAGCGAATTTTAAAATATTTCAGTCGTGCCGAAACCGGTGTGGCTCAGTGGATAGAGCGTTGGCCTGCGGACTGAGGGGTCCCAGGTTCGGTTTCGGTCAAGGGCATGTACCTTGGTTGCGGGCACATTCCCAGTGGGGGGTGCAGGAGGCAGCTGGTCGATGACTCTCGCATCGATGTTTCTAACTCTCTGTCTCTCTCCCTTCCTCTCTGTAAAAAATCAATAAAATATATTTTTTTTTAAATTTCAGTCGTTTATATGTAATGTCTTATAAAACTACTCATGATTGATATTTATGTTTAACAGTATAGTTTAATCAAATAATATTAAGAAGGTTATTAATAATTTATTTAATGTTTAAAACCTTTTCCCTGGCCCTGGCCAGGTTGCTCAACTGTTAGAGCATCATCTCAATATAGCAAGGATGTGAGTTCTATTCCTGATCAAGGCACATAATGCGAATCATCCAATGAATAAATGGAATAACTAATCGATTTTTCTTTCTCTCCCCTCTCTCTAAAATTGGTATAAATGTAATAAAAATAAATAAAAGTTTCCCCTGGTTTCTTTCTTTCTTCCTTTTTTTTCTTTTTTAAATCCTCACCTAAGAATATATTTTTATTGATTTTAGACAGCAAGGAAGAGAGAGAAGTTGCCTCAACACACGCAAACGGTGATCAGACCAGGTCTGTGTCCTGACTGGGAATTGAACACACACCTTACGGTGGACAGGTTGATGCTCAACCAACTGAGCCACCCTGGTTTCTTTTCTTTCTTTCTTTTTTTTTTAAATATATATTTTATTGATTTTTTACAAAGAGGAAGGAAGAGGGATAGAGAGTTAGAAACATGGATGAGAGAGAAACATCGACCAGCTGCCTCCTGCACACCCCCTACTGGGGATGTGCCTGCAACCAAGGTACATGCCCTTGGCCGGAATGGAACCTGGGACCGAAGCTCTATCCACTGAACCAAACCGGTTTCGCCTGGTTTCTTTCTTTAATGGTCCTCTCGCTGCATACTTTTATCTGTTTAATTGTCACCTATAGCTGAACTTTTAAATCTGTTTCTCATCTATCTTTCTTCACTGCTATCTAGACAGGTGACCAGACTTTTGGCGGGACAGTCCCGATTCTTAACAATTTATCCCGAGTCCCACGGCGTTTTAAAAAAAGTCCCGATTTTTGGAAAGAATCTTCTAAATCTTCTGGACTTTTTTAAAACGCCACGGGATGCGGGACAGATTGTTAAAAATCGGAACGTCTGGTCACTTTAATCTAGACTGTTTTCACCTCACACTGGATATTTGCACCTGGCACCTGAAACCGCATGTAATCAAAACTGAAGTTCGCCAAGGCCGGTGTGGCTCAGTGTATAGAGCACCGGCCTGTGGACTGAAAGGTCCCGGGTTCGATTCCTGTTAAGGGCATGGACCTTGGTTGCGGGCACATCCCTGGTAGGGGGTATGCAGGAGGCAGCTGATCAATGATTCTCTCTCATCGATGTTTCTAACTCTCTATCTCTCTCTCTTCCTCTCTTGTAGAAAATCAATAAAATATATTTTTAAAAAAGAAAAGTGAAGTTCATTTTTTCTCACAACCCTGTCCTTTTTCCTCATTTTTCTGTGACTATCTCTGTCATCTACTCAGTTGCCAGCGTTGAAACCTAGGAGTCATTCTGTCATATCCAGTTGGCCATCGAGTTCTTTCTTTTCCCGATCTCTGTCCTTCCCTTTGTAGTCGGCCCCCTGCTGCTGTTCTGTTTCCAGCCCTCATCATTTCCTCCTCAGCAGCCTGGGCTATTGCCGTGACCTTTTAAAAAACTGCTTTTTTAATCAGTAAAAAAGTGAGTATATTTTCATTATATGAAATATTGAAAACACACACACAAAAATGTAGATGAAACTAAGTCACCCATAGTTCTGGGATATAATTGTTCACACTCTGGTCTCTTTTTTCATGTATTATTTCTTATATAATTGAGGTAATTCCGTATATACATCCTTTTCTCTGTATTGTTATCCTTATTCTTTTGTCTGTTTTTTAAATAAAACTTTTTTTTTTAAGAAAATATATTTTGCCAAAACTGGTTTGGCTCAGTGGATAGAGCGTCGGCCTGCGGACTCAAGTGTCCAAGGTTCGATTCTGGTCAAGGGCATGTACCTTGGGTGCGGGCACACCACTGGGAGTGTGCAAGAGGCAGCTGGTTGATTATTTTCTCTCATCGATGTTTCTAGCTCTCTATCCCTCTCTCTTCCTCTCTGTAAAAAATCAATAAAAATATTTTTAAAAAAGAAAATACATATTATTGATTTTAGAGAGGGAGAGGGGGACAGAAACATCAACGATGAGAGAATCATTGATTGGCTACCTCTTGCACACCTTCTACTGGGAATAAAGTAGTCTGCATCCCAGGCATTTGCCCTTAGCCGGAATCAAACCTGGGACCTTTCAGTCCGCAGACTGACGCTCTATCCATTGAGCCAAACTAGCAGGGCTAAATAAAACTTTTAATATTTGCAAAATGTTCCATTATAAGTAATAGCCTGGACAACTGGTTTCCTTTTCTACCTTCTCGTCGATTCTAATTATTTCAATAAATATTTGAATGACTTGTGTATATCCAAAGCTTCTGAAGTGATGGTTCTTACATGCAAATATTATTACAATACTTCCTGCTTAAAATTGTAGAGTTGCTCAGAGGCAGTTTGGCACAGTGAGAGTGGATTTCGTTGGACTCACTTGTTTCATATCTCTCCTTTATTATTTCCTTGATGTATACCTCCCTAAGCCTCAGTCTGTCTCCTTCTGTAGAGAGTCCAGAGTCTTCAGACAGAAAGACTGGCTTGATTTTTATCCCCTCTATATCCATTTTCTTCTTACTAAATCTATTATTATGATGGCAAACTAGAGCTTGAGTTTCCGAAAATAATACTGATTGCCTTCTTCCTCATAGAAAGAAAAGGTTCCTTAGTGAGTGCACGTATTTTAGGACATATATATATATATATATATATATTTATTATTATTTTTTTTTACAGAGAGGAAGAGAGAGGGATAGAGAATTAGAAACATCAATGAGAATCATTGACCAGCTGCCTCTTGCACACCCCCTACTGGGGATGTGCCCACAACCAAGATACATGCCCTTGACCGGAATCGAACCTGGGACCTTTAAGTCTGCAGGCCACGGCTCTATCCACTGAGCCACACCAGTTTCAGCTCTTAGGACCTTTGAAGGACTTGGTATAGGGTAGAACAGGAGAGAGAGAGGAGAAGTTTGTCCTCGCTGATTATCATGGAATTGAATGCTTTGCTCATTTCTGAAATTCTTAGGCAAAAAATCTCTTCTCTTGTCCTTGGTTTTCTCTCTTGGTTTTTTTTTTTTTTTTAAAATAAATAAGTTGATACCACAGGCATTATCTTGGTAACTGACTGTTCTCTGACTTGAGCTCTTCTTCCTTCTTCGTGGTTTGAAATCATAAGGTCATCTTGGTCTGTAACTTCATAAATGGCAGGAGAGGATGACCTAGCTCTCATTTGAATATTTGAATATGTTTATTGTTTTCAGAAGAAGGAAGGATAAGAGCAGTGATTATAAAGTTCATTCTGTTAGTCACTTGAAATTTTAAAAGGTTAAAGAATCCGTAGCATTGCCCTTTTCAAAGATTTCATCTCCTTTGAATAGTAATGCTTGAAATAGGAGTACCGTATTTTCCAGCGTATAACACGACTTTTGAAACGAGAAAAAGTCAACCAAAAATCGGGGGCAAAAGACCAAAATTGCACAAAAATTACCTGCAGATCTTGACGGCAAAGTAAGTCTTGTCTTTGAAGTGGGGGGTAGTCTTATACAGCAAATATAGGCCTAAACCTATGTTTTAACTGTAAAATTAGGGAGTCGTCTTATACGCCGGAAAATACGGTAGTTAATAAATGCTAACAACTAAAGAAAATTTTTTTTAATATATTTTATTGATTTCCTACAGAGAGGAAGGGAGAGAGATAGAGAGCCAGAAAGGTCGATGAGAGAGAAACATCGACCAGCTGCCTCCTGCACACCCCCCACCGGGGATGTGCCCGCAACCAATGTACGTGCCCTTGACCAGAATCGAACCTGGGACCCTCCAGTCCGCAGGCCGACGCTCCACCGCTGAGCCAAACCGGTTTTGGCCAACTAAAGAAATTTTTAATATAACTCCTTAGCCTGAGAAAACCATATATTTTTTTTAATATATTTTATTGATTTTTATTTTATTTTATTGATTTTGTACAGAGAGGAAGGGGGAGAGATAGAGAGTAGAAACATCAATGAGAGAGAGTCATCGATCAGCTACCTCTTGCACACCCCCTACTGGGGATATGCCGGCAACAAAGGTACATGCCCTTGACCGGAATGGAACCCTGGACCCTTCAGTCCCCAAGCCGACGCTCTATCCATTGAGCCAAACCGGTCTCCGCGTATTTTATTGATTTTTTTACAGAGAGAAAGAGAGAGGGATAGAGAGTTAGAAACATTGATGAGAAAGAATCATCAATCAGCTGCTTCCTGCACACCCCCCACTGGGGGTGTGCTCGCAACCAAGATACATGCCCTTGACCGGAGTCAAACCTGGGACCTTTCAGTCCACAGGCCGACGCTCTGTCCACTGAGCCAAACCAGTTTTGGGGAAACCATATTTTCAGAACGATATGCATTTATGTTGTCAATATACTTGTTAAGGTATTGAGTATATTTCCAAGGTGATACTTGAGATTATTTTGTTGACTATCTAATTTTGAAAGTAAATTGAACCTCAGCTTTTCTCTGTCCCTCCCAGTGGCAGCATGGAACCTGCGTTTCATAGAGGAGACCTTCTCTTTCTGACAAATCGAGTTGAGGATCCCATACGAGTGGGAGAAATCGTCGTTTTTAGAATAGAAGGAAGAGAGATCCCTATAGTTCACCGGGTCTTAAAGATTCATGAAAAGTATGTGCAACCTGTGTATTCTTTGTTTCAAAATAGCTTTATGTTTTGCTGTTTGCGGTATTTAATGTGGATAGCCCAAAGGTTAAAACATGGGTGGAATGGAAACTCCTTGGTCCTTCTTTCTTTTCTTTTTTTTAAATATATTTTATTGATTTTTCACAGAGAGGAAGAGAGAGGGACAGAGAGCCAGAATCATCGATGAGAGAGAATCATCGATCAGCTGCCTCCTGCACACCCCCTACTGGGGATGTGCCCACAACCAAGGCACACGCCCTTGTCCGAAATCGAACCCAGGACCCTTCAGTCCGCAGGCCGACGCCCTATCCACTGAGCCAAACCTGTTTCGGCCTTGGTCCTTCTTTCCATTTATTTTTATGAATGTCCGAAGGCTTGGTGAATATTAGAAAACGAAATTGTTGGTTATTAACTCATTTGTTTCCCTGGAGGTTTTTCTTGGTTCCCAACCAGATCAGCAGCCCTGTGTATTCCAAAGCAGTAAACAACTTAATGGGCCTATTTGTCTGCATCAGAGCGTTCCTTTCAGATGATAGGGGCCTGGTGGTCACGATGAGCAACTTGCTTACAATGGCTCGGTCACAGCAAGCCCCAGAAATCGGCTTGCCTAACACTCCTCCCCTTTATGATCAGTTCTTATAATGTCACAGGAACGGTCCCTGAGCCTCGGAGGGGATAGAGGAATACAGTTTTCACTTTATATATATATATATATATATATATATATATATATATATATATATATACACACACACACACACACACACACACACATATATATATGTATATAATTTTTTTTTTTATTGATCTTTTTACAGAGAGGAAGAGAGAGGGATAGAGAGATAGAAACATCGATGAGAGAGAAACGTTGATCAGCTGCCTTCTGCAGACACCCTACTGGGGATGTGCCCGCAAGCAAGGTACATGCCCTTGACCGGAATCGAACCTGGGACCTCCCAGTCTGTAGGCTGATGCTCTATCCACTGAGCCAAACCAGTTTCAGCTCCTATTTGGTTTTACTTTTCTGCCTCTCTGTCGTTGCTATCTTCGTGGTTGAATTGACTCGCTTCCCATGGCTCCTGGCATCCACGCTTGTAGCACCCTCCCCCCCTTTGCACCTGCCCTCTTTTCCCCTCCAGCATTTTTCAGACGCTCTTTCCTTTACAGAGTTGTCAGCTGCACATTATTTTTCTCTGCATACATTTGCATTTTTTCTCATTGGAACCTCATTTTTAATGTGACTGTTTGCACCTTTTTGGTGTTTGCAACGCCTTCCAATTTAGTCTCATCTGCAGATGTAGTGTCTAGTGAGCCAGTTCCTGGCTTAGCATCTCAGTGAAGACTAGTCAGTGGGAGTCTGGAGCTAATTTTCCTCTTTCTAGTAGGATGGCTAACCCAGACTCACTTTAACTCATTTGTTTTAAATGTATTTTATTGATTTATTTTTCAGGGAGTAAGGGAGAGGGAGAGAGAATTAGAAACATTGATGAGAGAGAAACATCAGTCAGCTGCCTCCTGCATACCCTCTACTGGGGATGTGCCCGCAACCAAGGTACATGCCCTTGTCTGGAATCGAACCTGGGACCCTTCAGTTCAAAGGCCGACACTCGCCAAACCGGTCAGGGCTTGAACTAATTTTAAAATGTTTTTTATCAACTGTAAAATGTACTTTGCTTTCAGTTAAAATGTCAAGTTACTAGAAACCTCATGATTCTTTATTTTATTTTAATATGTTTTTATTGATTTCAGAGAGAAAGGGAGATTGGGAGAGAGAGAAACATCAATGATGAGAGAGAATCATTGATTGGCTGCCTCCTGCAGGCCCCTTACTGGGGATCAAACCATGATCTCCTGGTCATAGGTCAGTGCTCAACAATTGAGCCACACCGGCCAGGCCCACATAGTTCTTTAGAAGAATTAAACTAGCCGAAGCCTGTTTGGCTCAGTGGTAGAGCGTCGGCCTGCGGACTGAAGGGTCCCAGGTTCGATTCCGGTCAAGGGCATGTACATTGGTTGCGGGCACATCCTCAGTAGGGGGTGTGCAGGAGGCAGCTGGTCGATGTTTCTCTCTCATCGACGTTTCTAGCTCTCTATCTCTCTCCCTTCCTCTCTGAAAAAAATCAATAAAATATGTTAAAAAAAAAAAAAAGAATTAAACTAATAACTTTCTGATTAAGATACTGTTATTTTTGCTCCTTTTTTTTTAAATATGGAGAATTTCTAACATGAATAAAAGTAGACAATACAGTACAGTGAACTCCCAAAAGCCCGTCACCCAGTCCCAATAATTATTTTTTTTAAATATAGTTTTATTGATATCAAAGAGGAAGGAAGAGGGAGAGAGAGAAACATTGATGATGAAAGAGAATCATTGATTGACTGCTTCCTGCACACCCCCTAGTAGGAATCGAGCCCGCAACCTGGGCATGTGCCCTTGGCTTGAATCAAACCCAGGACTCTTACCCACTAAGCCGAACCAGCTAGGGCCCAATAATTACTAATCTATGGCTAATTCTGTCCCACCTATACTAATACTTCCCCCCTATCCTGCATGTATTATTTTGATCATAGATATCACGTCATGTCATAAGTAAATATTTTAGCGAATATTTATGAACTATATAATCAGTGAGCTTTTTTTTAACAGTTTGAATCCAGATTCAGATAAAGGTCCTCAGTTGATATTGGTTGATATGGCTTATAGTGTCTTTTATTTAATATGTAAATTCCTTTTCCAACATTTTGTTCTTTGCAATTTATTTGTTAAGAAGTTGCGTCATTCTGTAGTTTCACATAACCTTCGTTTTGCCTCTAGGGTAGTTTAATGTGTTCCTTTGCTCTGTGTATTTTAAAAAAAAAAAAATTGGTAGTTTGTCTTTGTTTTAATATAAAAATGAGATTATTCTGCACATACTGCTTTATAATCTTTTCTTCACTTAATACAGTTTGTATGATCTTCAATGCATTCATCTTCTGTAACATTGTCCTTAATGCTTGCTTAGTATTTCAACTCCTGAATGTTAAACATTTAGCTCGTTTCCAGTTTTTCCGAATGATAAACTACACGGCTATAAAATTCCTTTTAGCTAAATAAACAATTCTTTTTCATCTTGGGAATGGTGATTAACATACCACCGTGCCACAGGAATTTTTGGATAACCAGAGCAAATTTTACGCTTTGAAATGGCATCAAGCTATTTGATGACTTGGTTTTCTCTTATTCTTTTAAGGCAAAACGGAAATATCAAGTTTTTGACCAAAGGAGACAATAACGCGGTTGACGACCGGGGCCTCTATAAACAAGGACAACATTGGCTAGAGAAAAAAGATGTTGTGGGCAGAGCGAGGGGGTAAGTATAGATGGAGCCCTTGCTGAGTTCCGCATGTCTCTTTAAACTCGGCCCCCTCCATCGCATCGCTGATCCTACCCAGTTGACATAACGTCCTGGTTCTTACAGATCACCTCGTATCCTCTGAAAAGGTAGACTTCTTAAATGCACTTAAAGCTTCAGGTATACGCTCCCGAGGGGCGGGAATGGGGGGATGTAAAAGAATAGAACATTAGCGATGAGATGACGAATTGGAGTGACTGTGTCAAAAATTCATTTGTTTACTCCAATCAAGAAACGTTATTGGGCAACCCATGGACTCTAATGTTTGTATTCCGCTGGTCTCTGGGGATCCCAGCAGTGTTTTGTTGGTTTGTTGGTTTGTTTGTTTGTTTGTTGTTTGTTTGCTTTCATGTTAAAGTTTATTCCCCAGTAATGGGCGGGACTCATTACGGAGGTAGAGAAATCAGAATTGAAGGAGTGGGGAGAGGAGAGGGGACCCAGCCGGGCTGCCTCCACAGATGGAGATGGAGAGAGCAGCACGTGAGCCTTTTGAGGGGAGGAACAGGAAAGGGTTGGACCCAGGGCGGAACAGGAAGGGGCGGGCTCCCGGGCCTTCAGCACGCGCTGATTGGTGGTTCCATGTCTTGGGGATGTCTCTGTGGCAGATGCCAGTAACGTCATAACTCCACCCACCATTTGGGGATCCCAGCAGTTTTAATCCCACTTCATGAAACTTACATTTCTTAAGTATTTACTGAATCAGCAACTTGATGCATTCATCCAAATTAACGTGTTCATCCTCATTGAAAACCATACTGTTTTCTTCCTGGTCTTGAAATTGTTGAGGTCCAATGAGACTGAAAAGTTATATTAAGCCTGTTTATTTCAGCTTTTAACAGGAGCACAAATCAGTGGAGGACAGGAATTGTAAGTGATTGGTACGAGGAAGTACGGGGTTGTAACCACCTTCGTGTTTTTAATAACATTAACAATAACTGACATTCATTAGGGCTTACTCCGCACCAGCGATTCATTCTAAGTGCTTTGCAAGTATTTAACCTCAGAACAACCCTAACATTGCCATTCTGTAGATGAGGAAACATGGGTCAGTGAAGTTGCTTATCTGAGGTCACACTGGTGGTAAGTGGCCGGATGACCTCAGCGCCCACTTTCTTAACCATTGCAAACAGAATTACAGGCATAACCGCTCTGGCGTGGGGAGCTGCTGGCTCTCAGTGTTCAGATGCCACGTCACACTCTGACCACTGTGAGAGCACCCGCTTCTCTCACCTGGGACTGGCAGTGTGAACACCTGGGACGGCCGGTATGGACACCTGGGACGGCCAGTGTGAACTCAGTGGAAGGTCGGGCAGCAGTTTTCAACCCTTTCCACCTCATAGCACACAAATCAATCAGTAGAACTCTGCGGCACACCAAAAAGTGCATCGTATTTCTTGCCGATCTGACAAAAAAAAAAAAGGGGGGTATAATTTTGACTCATTCGCAAGGAATGAATCGCCTGTTTTCATTTTGACAATCTAAACACAAAGAGGCCAGTGCTTCTGACCAAACAGTCGGGATTGCATGTTTTTAAAATTCTCGCAGCACACCGGTTGAAAACGGCCGCTCTGTCGAACAGGCCACCACACTGAGGGGCTCGGGTCCCACAGAGAATTGAGTGCGAGTTGTGAGGTGATAGCTGCCACAGGGACAGCATGAGGTGGCTCGGTGTGGGGAAGAGAGATCTGATCAGAATAAGCACCGTATGTCGAAACCGGTTTGGCTCAGTGGATAGAGCATCGGCCTGTGGACTCAAGGGTCCCGGGTTCGATTCCGGACAAGGGCATGTGCCTTGGTTGCAGGCACATCCCCAGTGAGAGGTGTGCAGGAGGTAGGTGGTCGATGTTTCTCTCTCATCGATGTTTCTAACACACTATCTCTCTCCCTTCCTCTCTGTAAAAAATCAATAAAATATATTTTTTTAAAAAGAAGCACCACCACGTGCTTTGTGCACTGCGGTGCTGGGGGCTTTCTGCGCATGCCCCAGTTCCAGGAGCTTCATTCCCCATGGAGGGCCAGATGTACCTTTACCATCAAATACGATCATCGTGTTCCTGAGAAATCATTGCCCCCGTCTCTCTCTGCTCCCAAGATGCTGCTATTACGGTTATTCACACTCATCAACCTGTTCGAGTCTTTTTGTTTTTACTTTAATTAGAAATGTACAGATTCATGCAGAACCATGAGGAGAAAATAGTCATCAAAAAGCAAAGTCGCTTTTCTGCTCCCCCTCCATAGATTTTTTAACTTTTGGGTATATATATTTTTAGCCTGTATGTATAAAGATGTAAATCTTAGTTGTTTGGGTGGGTGGATTGGGGTGCATACAGAAAATAATTTGTGTACAGGGAAAGAATGGTCACAGTTTATAAGCTTTTTTCATCCCCCAGAGTTACCAGTCTCTTTACAAATAAAAATTAATTTCCATGTCATCATTTTCAAAGCTGTATGCTTTTCCTCTGTGTGGATAGACTACTTTATTTACTTATTTTTGAAATGTATTTTATTGATTTTTTACAGAGAGGAAGGGAAAAAGATAGAGAGTTAGAAACATTGATGAGAGAGAAACATTGATCAGCTGCCTCCTGCACACCTCCTACTGGGGACACACCCGCAACCCAGGCACATGCCCTTGGCCGGAATCAAATGCAGAACCCTTCAGTCTGTAGGCCAACACTCTATCCAGTGAGCCACACCGCCCAGGGCTAGACCACATTTTTAGTTAGACAGTCTCCTGCTGTTAGACACTTTGATTTTATTCCCCATTTTTTAAAAATTATTATTATTCTTTACAGAGAGGAAGAGAGAGGGATATAGAGTTAGAAACATCGATGAGAGAGAAACATCAATCAGCTGCCTCCTGCACACCTCCTACTGGGGATGTGCCCACAACCAAGGTACATGCCCTTGACCGGAATTGAATCCAAGACCTTTCGATCCACAGGCCGACACTCTATCCACTGAGCCACACCGGTTTCGGCTTATTCCCCATTTTTTAAAATGATGAACAATGTTAGGATGAGCATCCTGTTACCTATATTTCAGTGCTTCTGCCCAGTCGTTTCTTCACAGTCAATTCTCAGAGGCAATGCATAAGGCTTTTGATAAATGTTGCCACAGTGTTTTATTTGTACTCCTGCAAGTGTGACAGTGTTCCTTCATCTGGGTCTTCATCATTAGGTGCTTAATGCAGTTCTGTCTCCTCACTTGGGCCTCTGTTTGCGTAAAAGATGCATCATTCTACCTAAACTATACACTGTGTTATTTCTAAAATTCCAACATTGAAGATGTTGCTTTAATCCTCTCTGTGGCTTTAATAAAAAATAAAAAATAAAATGAAATAGCCTGGTACTCTCTGAAGTAACTTTCCGTGAGGCATGAACAGCTGGGCACAGGATCTTAACTACACAAATTCACTTACCTTGACACGTAAGGGGGCATATCACCTCCTTTTGTGGAAATTGTGTTTATAAAACCCTAAACTGATATTTCAAAGTCAGACTGTACCCAGACCTTGAGGCGAGAGCTTTCTCACAGATCATACTGTAACCTGTGGTACAAATGTCGGTATGCATTAAAAACAATATTTTTTTCAAACAGCTGCCTGCACACTAAAAAAAAAAAATTTTTTTAATCTATTGATTTTTTTTTTTTTTTTTACAGAGAGAAAGGGAGAGGGTCAGAGAGCTAGAAACATCTATTAGAGAGAAACATCAACCAGCTAGCTCCTGCACACCTCTTACCGGGGATGTACACGCAACCAATGTACATGCCCCCGACCGGAATCGAACCTGGGACCCTTCAGTCCTCAGACCGACACTCTGTCCACTGAGCCACACCAGTTTCAGCCACTAAAAACATTTTACACTGAAGCCCAATGCCCAGAATAAAACACATTTAAAATAGCATTGAGCCGAAACCGGTGTGGCTCAGTGGATAGAGGGTCAGCCTGTGGACTGAAGGGATCCGGGTTCAATTCCGGTCAAGGGCACGTACCTTGATTGCGGGCACAACTCTGGTAGGGGGTGTGCAAGAGATAGCTGACTGATGTTTCTGACTTTCTATCCCTCTCCCTTCCTTTCTGTAAAAAATTAATAAAATGTATATTTTTTTAAAAAACAACATTGAGATATAATCCATATATCCTAAATAATAAAGAGCTAATATGCTAATTAGACTGAACAGCAAAACAATAGTCCAGACAACCTTCTGGACAAAGCTAGGGCTGGTTTTTCTTGTTTGTTTGTTTGTTTTTTAATTTTTTAATTTTTTTTTTAGTGTGCAGGCAGCTGTTTGAAAAAAAATATTGTTTTTAATGCATATCAAGGCTGCGAGGGCTGGCCAAGATAGCAAGGGCTGCGAGGTACAAGCCCCCTGCACGAATTTCGTGCATCAGGCTTCTAGTTGGGATATAAGATTCATCATTTTAAAGTAGGGGTGTCGAACTCAATCAGAGAAGGGGCCAAAATCTAAAATCCAGCCTAAATCGAGGGCCGAATGGTTTACTGAACAGTCCTAAACTGTCATTGTGATGGAAATGCAGCGGAGTGCAGTGATGACAGCGCGGTGCGGGCCACATTGCAAGGCCTGGCGGGACGGATTTGGCCCGCGGGCCTTGTGTTTGACACATGTGTTTTAAAGCATACAGTTCCTTGGGTTTCGTTATATTCACAAGGTGTGCACAGCTATCACCACTGTCTAATTCCAGACCGTTTCCACACCCAGAAGGAAAACTCCACTCATTTGCAGTCACTCCCCATCCTTTTTCCCTGAAGCCCCTGGCAACCACTAATCTTTCTGTCTCTATGGTTTGCCTGTTCTGGACATTTTTATAAACAGAGTCTTAATCTTACACTAGGCAGGCTTTTATGTCTGGCTTCTTTCACACAGCGTAATGTTGTAACGTAGTAAAAACAATTTTAGGAAATGAAACCAGCCCAAGCCAGTTTTTCCCAGTGGTTAGTGTCGACCCACCAACTGAAGGGTCTTGGTTTCCATGCCAATCCAGGGCTTGTGCCTCGGTTGCAGGCTGGCTCCCTGTGCAGGAGACAACCAATCAATGTGTCTTTCATGTTGATGTTTCTCTCTCCTCTCCCCCTTCCTTCCACTCCATATAAAAATCCTGGAAAAAAATATGTTGGGTGAGTGTTAACAAAAAAGAAAATTAAATTAATATTGAACCGACTGGGTATTTGGTAGGGTTGATTCGGCCTAAATTCAGGGAGGGAGTTGAAAACCACGAGAGGATCTGTTACTCAAAGAAGAATTAGCAACAACAGGAGCAAGAGAGAAGACTGGTGGGTCAAGGAATAGAGAAATCGTGACATTGAAGAGAGGAATAACCATAGCAGGTGTGGCTCAGTGGATAGAGCATCAGCCTATGGACTGAAAGGTTCTGGATTTGATTCTGGTCAAGGACACATGCCCAGCTTGTGGTCTCAATCCCCAGTAGGGGGCGTGCAGGAGGCAGCCGATCAGGGATTCTCTCTCATCATTGATGTTTCTCTCTTTTCCTCTCCCTCTCTGAAATCAATAAAAATATATAAGAAAAGCGGAATAAAAATATAAGGAAGGAGCAGAGTAATTGAGCCCTCTATTGGCTGAACCCAGTTTCATGGATGAGGCTTTTGAAATATACTCTATACTTAACTTGAAACAGATCATTTTAGGGTAGCAACAGTGACCTTTTTAAGTCAGCTATGGTAGTCCAGACTTCCCAGATACAGATCCCTTGTAACATCTGACAAAAGTATCTTCTTCTTTTTTTTAAGTATATTTTATTGATTTTTTACAGAGAGGAAGGGAGAGGGATAGAGAGCCAGAAACATCGATGAGAGAGAAACATCGATCAGCTGCCTCCTGCACACCCCTCCACTGGGGATGTGCCTTCAACCAAGGTACATGCCCCTGACCGGAATCGAACCCGGGACCCTTCAGTCTGCAGGCCGATGCTCTAACCACTGAGCCAAACTGGCCAGGGATAAGAATGTCTTCTGACACAACCTCAGCAAGTGCTTCTTCCTTCTTCTTCCTCATCTTCCGGGGGTCAGCAGCACTTTGACCCCAGAGCACCCAGGACTTCCCCGTCTTGACGCCCCGCCTTCTAGACGGTGACTCGGCGCAGGCCGGCGTTGGAGGTGGCCCCGCAGGTGGCATTGGGTTTACCAGCTCTGCTTTAGCAGACTTATCTGTGCAGGGAGGGAGAAAGCGCATCGGATGGGAACCGAAAGGGACTGCTGATAGCATTGTGCACTCTTCGCCGTCTCTGTCCACGGAGGGAAATGGCGATACGGATCAGGAAGCCCTTTGTCTGACTTTGGACCGCCTGTCAGACGCTACCTTGGGCTTGGTTACATGACGCCTGAAGATCAAGGTGCTTCCATGTCACTCAGCGTGGCAAAGAGAAACCAGCCTCAGGGGAAGGGCTGTGTCCGTGGAAAACTCCCAGGCAGGACTACATGATTCCTGGGAGCCAAAGGCTGTGGCGGTTTGAGCATCGGTATTATTATTATTTTTTTTAATATATTTTATTGATTTTTTATTTTTTTTTGCCCCCTTTCCTCCCTCCCCAGAGTTTTATGTCCATTGGTTGTACGTATAGAGCATCGGTTTTTTAAATATATTTTATTGATTTTCTTACAGAGAAGAAGGGAGAGAGATAGAGAGCCAGAAACATCGATGAGAGAGAAACATCGACCAGCTGCCTCTTGCACACCCCCTACTGGGTATATGCTCACAACCAAGGTACATGCCCTTGACCGGAATCGAACCCGGGACCTTTCAGTCCACAGACCGACGCTCTACCGATGAGCCAAACCGGTTTCAGCTACAGCATTGGTATTATTGTAAGCAGGTAACAGCGAAAGTCTCTACCCATGAGAATGGTTGCTGGCTGATCATCGGATCGGAATTAGCAGCCTGAGCCTGTCTTCATAGAAATCGCAGATGCTTTTATTGCTTTAAATCTGCATTGTACCATTAGGCATTTGCCTTTACATTCTTCAATTAGGTGATTTATCTTTACGGAAAGCTGTTGCTTTCATGAAGGTGTTTTAAGAAACATCAACTTGCGCCAAGAGGGGTTTGGCTCAGTGGATAGAGCGTTGGCCTATGGACTGAAAGGTCCCGGGTTCGATTCCAGTCAAGGGCATGTACCTTGGTTGTGAGCACATCCCCAGTAGGGGGTGTGCAAAAGGCAGCTAATCGATGATTCTCTCTCATCGATGTTTCTAACTCTCTATCCCTCTCTCTTCCTCTCTGTAAAATATCAATAAAATAGATTTTTTAAAAAAGAAAAGAAAAAAAGAAAGAAACATCAACTTGCTCAGATGTTGTGGCTCAATGGATAGAGCGTCAGCCTGCGGACTGAAGGGTCCCAGGTTCAATTTCGGCCAAGGGCACATGCCTGCGTTTCAGGCTGGATCACCAGTGGGGGCGTGCAGGAAGCAGCAAACTAATGATTTTCTCTCTCATCATTGATGTTTCTCTCTCTCCCTCTCCCTTCCTCTTTAAAATCCATTAAAAAATATTTTTTTTAAAAAAAAAAAGAAAAAGAAACATCAACTTGCCCAGCAAGTTTGTGGTCATCTGAGTCAAATGCTGCAGAATAAAGGAAGACTGGAGCAGAGACCAGTGTGCTGCCTATAGTGATTGCACCGTTCTAGAAAGTTTCAGGATTAAGAGAGCCAAAGCCAGATTACAGGTGTTTAATAAATGGGAGGTAAAGAAATCTTAAGTACTGGAATAGGGCTCTTACACTCACTTTTTGGACACTTGACATAAAGTACCTTGTCATGTTCTGGCTGTGTTTACCTTGTCTGCCCAACTACTAATAGATTGACAGTCCCTGAAGGTTATAAAATAAGGTGACCAGACATCCTGCTTTTGGCGGGACAGTCCCGATTTTTACAGTTTGTCCCACATCCCGCGGCATTTTTAAAAAGTCCCGATTTTTGGCTGAAACCGGTGTGGCTCAGTGGTAGAGCGTTGGCCTGCGGACTGAAAGGTCCCAGGTTCGATTCCAGTCAAGGGCATGTACATTGGTTGCAGGCACATCCCCAGTAGGGGGTGTGCAGGAGGCAGCTGGTCGATGTTTCTCTCTCATCGATGTTTCTAGCTCTCTGTCCCTCTCCCTTCCTCTCTGTAAAAAAAATCAATAAAATATATTTTTAAAATAAAAAGTCCCGATTTTTGGAAATCGGGACGTTTTTAAAACGCCGCGGGACAAATGGTTAAAAATCGGGACATCTGCCGGACCGGTTTGGCTCAATGGATAGAGCGTCAGCTTGGGGACTGAAGGGTCCCAGGTTCGATTCCGGTCAAGTGCATGTACCTTCGTTGCGGGCATATCCTCAGTAGGGAGAGTGCAAGAGGCAACTGACCGATGACTCTCTCTCATCGATGTTTCTAACTATCTCTCTCCCTAACTCTCTGTACAAAATCAATAAAATAATGTGTTTTTTTAAATCGGGAAGTCTGGTCACCTTATTATAAGGACAACCCAGTCCCCAGCACTGAGTCAGCAGGTATAATGAGAATCGCCAAATAGATGTCTAAGATGCGGATCCGGTACTGGTTGTACTGAGCAGTAACAACGTGCCATGGGTCCGAGCACCTGTTTCCTCATCTATATTGTGGCAATGTCCCTCACTTCCCTGTCACCGGGCTGCTGAAAGGATCTATAGGATGATGGTATATACAAACGGACTTCGCGAACTGACACTTAATTTTCTGTGGAAGACACTGAGAATGCTCAGTAGATGGTAACTACATATTATAGGAATCTCTGTGACCGTCATTTTTTTTGTTTGTTTCTTTGTGTAGATTTGTTCCTTATATTGGGATTGTGACAATCCTCATGAACGACTATCCTAAATTTAAGGTAAGATCCCTTACTTTATGTCTCTGGATCTATTTCTGCTTTTTGGATTTTTTTTGTTGTTCGTTAGAGATAGAGAAGCATCGGACAGATGGTCAAACCTCAGAGGGAAGGCAGGGGAGGGAGGGCAGGTGGGAAGAGATCAGCCAATGACCTTGAATGCATAACCCAGGGACATGGACAATAAGGGGGTGAATACCACCTGGGAGGGAGGGGGACAAGGGCCGGCTGGGGGAGGTCCATGGGGGGAAACGGGGAAGTCCGTAATACTTTCAGCAATAAAAACTTAAAAAAAAAAAATCCTACCTATACTTTATGACTCATTAAATATGTGATCTTTTGCTCCATTTTGGGCACTATTAAATGGATTACCCTTAAAAGAGAATACTAACCTGTTAGTCTTATATAAATTTCTGCTGATTGGCCAGTATCGGAATTCCTGCCTGAAGGATATGGGTGTGTCCCATAACCTCAATAAAAGGGATGGCAAGGCCAGAGCGGGGTGTAGTCATCCCCCTAGAGGTGGGATCCGCTTGGCCCCCGATATTCCCAAATTAATACATTTTTTTAAAAAAAAGAAGAAGAAAAAGCCAGAACCGGTTTGGCTCAGTGGATAGAGCTTCGGCCTGTGGACTGAAAGGTCCCGGGTTCGATTCCGGTCCAGGGCATGTACCTTGGTTGCGGGCACATCCCCAGTGGGAGGGGGGGGGGCGTGCAGGAGGCAGCTGATGGATGATTCTCTCTCAGCGATGTTTCTAGCTCTCAATCCATCTCCCTTCCTGTCTGTAAAAAAAAAAATCAATAAAATATATTTTAAAAAATAAATTAGAAAAAGAAGACTAATTGGATAGTGAATGTTATAGTCTGGTCACAAAAGTGTATTTGTTGAGGACCAGGAACCTGTAAGGCTGCCCTGACTGGCTGTCTCTCTCTCTCTCTCTCTCTCTCTCTCTCTCTCTCTCTCTCTCTCTCTCTCTCTCTCTCTCTCTCTCCCTCCCAGTACGCAGTCCTCTTCCTGCTGGGCCTCTTCGTGCTGGTCCATCGGGAGTGAGAAGCCAGCCGCCTCGCCGCTCCGGGGAGGTGCCGTACGTTGTGTTCCTGGTGTTCGCAGTAGATGTCGGTCTGTGGCTGGTGGAGGGGCGCTGGCGCAGGCCGCCCCTCCCGGTTTGCATTCGTTCCTGTCCCCTCCCAGGGTCTGTCTGGGCCGGTGTCCGTCCGCGCCCCGCCCCGCCGGGCGCACGCTCTCCAGGGGACTGTCACTCACAGGATCTCCCACGCTGTCATTGTCCCACTTCCGCATTTTTGTACACCCCGTGGGTTTTTTATATTAAAAGGTTGAGCCAAAGCCCCCAGTGTTTGTATTTCGAAGCCAAGCTTCGCTTTTAAAGTGCCTACAGAGTTGGGAAGCCACCGTTTCCTCCCGCTAATGGGAATGGCGCATCCTGAGGCGGTCGGAAGTTTTAACGTTTTAAAATGTTCAATAAAAGACTTTGCATATCGAACCCTGTCTTTATCCCCTGGCTTGTGTTTGTCACAAGGGCGAGCTTTCCTCCGCAGTTTGCCTTTCAGCGCTGGGCCCCGGCGACCCCCGGGGAGATAACGGCTGCCACGTGACCGCTCCTTGCGCCCTGAAGATTGTCCTCACCCTGCCGACTGTTTCTTTGTTCGTCGTGTTTCTTTTTGTTTTTGTGATGTCAGAGCGGCCACTGACGTCCACGGGGAGTCTCTTAGTCACAGAATAAACCCAGCTAGTGCTGCTTAGAGGTCCAGAAAAGTCTCACTCTGCTGCAGACTCCTAACCTTTCCCACGCTGGACACATTTGCAGCCCTGTCTGACGGGAGGAGGGAGGAGGGAGGAGAGAGGTGATGGAGGGCAAGCATGTCTCCTTTATTTATTTATTACATTTTATTGATTTTTTTTTACAGAGAGGAAGGGTGAGGGATAGAGAGCTAGAAATATCGATGAGAGAGAATCATCCATCAGCTGCCTCCTGCACACCCCCCACTGGGGATGTGCCCGCAACCAGGGAACATGCCCTGGACCGTAATCGAACCCGGGACCTTTAAGTCCACAGGCCGACGCTCTATCCACTGAGCCAAACCGGTCCTGGCTAATTTAAAAAAAAAAATATATATATATATATATATATATATATATATATATATATATATATATATATATATATTGATTTCAGAGAGGAAGGGGAAGGGACAGAAACGTCAATGATGAGCCGAAACTAGTTTGGCTCAGTGGATAGAGTGTCGGCCTGCAGACTGAAAGGTCCCAGGTTCGATTCTGGTCAAGGGCATGTGCATTGGTTGCGGGCACATCCCCAATGGTGTGCGCAGGAGGCAGCTGGTCGGTGTTCCTCTCTCATCAAAGTTTCTAGTTCTCTATCCCTCTCCATTCCTCTCTGTAAAAAATCAATAAAATATATATATTTTTTAAAAATCAATGATGAGAGAAGAATCATTGAGTAGCTGCCTCCTGCACGCCCCCTACTTGAGGAGATCAAGCCTGCAACCTGGGTATGTGCCGTTGGCTGGAATCGAACCTGTGACCTCTTAGTCTGCAAGCGGATGCTCTATCCACTGAGCCACACAGGCTAGAGCTCCTTGTTTTCTTATATTAACGTGAAATCTCAGAGTAAGCACGTTTTCTGCCTTGGGCTAAATGCACTCTTTCTATTATTTGTCCAACTGAAGTGGGAATCAGTTCACACTTGAATGCTAATGGAGTGGGAATAGGGACATTTGATCCTCGGAAGGCCTCCCCTGTGGAGAGCAGTGCCATCCCCAAGCCATTAACAAGGCTCTAGCCTTCATGCTTGGCATATTGGCTCTTAATGAGCCCAACAGAGAGGGGAACTTGGCAAGTGCCTCCTTGGACCGGTCTGGGAGGCGTCTGTTTCGTCATGAGCCAAGAAGAGCACATGGTACAATAGCCCCCCCGTGCAGATGGCAGAAAATGGCTACTCTCCCCTCATCTGCTTGGTTGCGGGCACATCCCCAGTGGGGAGTGTGCAAGAGGCAGCTCATCGATGATTCTCATCTATGTTTCTAACTATTCCTCTCTCTTCCTCTCTGTAAAAACTCAATAAAATATGTTATTTAAGAAAAGATAGATATAGCCGAAACCAGTTTGGCTCAGTGGATAGACCGTTGGCCTGCGGACTGAAGGGTCCCAGGTTCGATTCCGGTCAAGGGCATGTACCTTTGTTGCGGGAATATCCCCAGTAAGGGGTGTGCAAGAGGCAGCTGATCGATGATTCTCTCTCATCGATGTTTCTAACTCTCTATTCCTCTCTCTTTCTCTCTGTAAAAACTCAATAAAGTATATTTTTTTAAAAAGATAAATAGATATAAAGATACTGCTCTCTTTTTTCCCCCATAGCCTCTAGCAGCATAGACCTATTCAGCATAACAATGAGCTCGACCCAGAGGCAGTAACGTAGGGTAGCATTATTATTGCGCTGTTATGCTGGGGCAGAGCATATGAATCATTAAAGCAATTTGTACTTTCCTGTTACTTACTAAGTACATTATCTCGGTCTTGCCAAATTTGAATCTGAAATTTTTCTCTCTCCCTGGTTCCAGCATGTTCCCTCCTCAGAATAGTTCACATTAATCCTGTTTCCTTCTTTTGTGTGTGCCCTTGGCTCTTCTGTGTGCTCTTTCGCCGTGGGAGAAGTATTTATTGGTGTTGATCACTTTTTTTAATATATATATATATATATTTTAATATATTTTATTGATTTTTTTTACAGAGTGAAATGGAGAGAGAAAGAGAGCTAGAAACGTTGATGAGAGAGGAACACTGACCAGCTGCCCCTTGCACACCCCCTATCGGGGATGTGCCCGCAACCAAGGTACATGCCCCTGACCGGAATCAAACCTGGGACCTTTCAGTCCACAGACCGATGCTCTATCCACTGAGCCACACGGGTTTCGGCGAGAGCTTGCTCTTAGAGGCTTTGTTATCCTTAAGTGCATTTGCTGGTCATTTGCACAAGTTGTTCCCAAGTCCAAGTGCCCCCTTCTATCTCAGCATCTGACACAGCCTCCTTATGACACGTATCACTCGGCTGAGCATCAGAAACGATCCAGCAGATTCTAGCAGCTGAATGGATTGTCCACATTCCTCAGGGTCAGGCTGGCCTGTCTATGCTGCTGTTTTTTCTTTTTCTTTTTCTTTTTAAATATATTTTATTGATTTTTTTTTTTTTTTTTTTTTTTTTTTTTTACAGAGAGGAAGAGAGAGGGATAGAGAGTTAGAAACATCGATGAGAGAATCATCGATCAGCTGCCTCTCGCACAACCCCTACTGGGAATGTGCCCGCAACCAAGGTACATGCCCCTGACCGGAATCGAACCCGGGACCTTACAGTCTGCTGGCCGACGCTCTATCCACTGAGCCAAACCGGTTTCGGCTGCTGTTGTTTTTTCTTTCCAGCTGAGTGTATCTGACACTATCTTCTGTAGTTTACTAGGACTGTAAAGAGTACCAGACCAAGAAGTGTGAGAGACTAGAATATGCAGGTGCTATCAAAAAATAGTGAAGCCCTGACTGGCTTGGCTCAGTGGATAGAGCATTAGCCTGTGGACTGAAGGGTCCCAGGTTCGATTCTGGTCGGGGACACATGCCTGGGTTGTGGGCTCAATCCCCGTTAAGGGGGCATGCAGGAGGCAGCCGATCAATGATTCTTTCTCATCATAAATGTTTCTCCCTCTCCCTTTCTCTCTGAGATCAATAAAAAAAAAAAAATATATATATATATATATATATATATATATATATATATATATATATATATATTTTTTTTTTTTTTTTTTTTTTTTTACAGAGAGGAAGAGAGAGGGACAGAGAGTTAGAAACATAGACGAAAGAGAGTCATTGATCAGCTGCCTCTTGCACACCCCCTACTGGGGATGTGCCCGCAACCAAGGTACATGCCCTTGACCGGAATCAAACCTGGGTCCCTCTAGTCCGCAGGCCGACGCTCTATCCACTGAGCCACACCGGTTTCGGCATATTCCACATTCTTGTATCCTTGACATTGGTCTCACTGTACAGCCAGCCCTCCAGTCTTTGCTTCTGCTGGTCACTTTCCCCGGAGTGTCCGCTCACTGCTCCACCTGCTAAAAGCTTTCTCATCCAGCAGCCATTTATTGAGCATCTATCCGTGCCAGGTTTGGGGCTAGGCCCTGGGGATGCAGAATGAGTGAGACCAGGTCCCTCCTCTGCCAGGAACCCAGGGCCTTAGGAGGGGCAACTTGGAACAGATTTTTTCCACACGAGATCCTAGGTGCAGAGGGAGAGATGCGCAGGGAGCTCAAAAGAGGAGTGTTTTGTTTTGTTTTTAAATATATTTTTTATTGATTTTTTACAGAGAGGAAGGGAGAGGGACAGAGAGCTAAAAACATCAATGAGAGAGAAACATCGATCAGCTGCCTCCTGCACACCCCCTACTGGGAATGTGCCCGCAACCAAGATACGTGCCCCCGACCGGAATCGAACCCGGGACCCTTCAGTCCGCAGGCTGATGCTCTATCCATTGAGCCACACCAGTTTGGGCAAAAGAGGAGTGTTTTTATCTTCAAGTGAGCTCTCAAGTGCTTCCTGCTCGGTGCTGCCAGACTTAGTTCACGCTCCTCTGATATCGTTTGATGTGTCCCTCTCCCAACCAGCTCCCTGCAGGCATTGAGGCAAGGCCAGCCTCTGATTTATCCCGGTGCTTGTCATAGTGCTTTGCACAGTTTAGACTTATTTATACCCTGCATTGTTCCACAGAGATGCTATTAAGACGTATGATGAGATATATAAAATAATTGAAGAATTTGGGATTGAAATAGCGTGGGAAGAGAAAAGGATGAGTACATAGACGGTGAGACACTTTGAAAGATTCTGTTAAATTGGTTCTCAGCTCCTTTGGGGTTGATGTAAAGAGGGACATAGTTATGTCTGTCCTTTATGGACTAGGCTAAACGGAATAAAAATCAACAACTTACAGTGACATCAGGGACCAAGAAATTTCTCTTCTGGGACCTCCTTGCCATTCTGTAATCCCTGTATTTATTAGCCTAATGTTTGTTTTTGTTTTGTTGGGGTTTTTTAAATTATTTTTTATTGATTTCAGAGAGGAAGGGAGAGGGAGAGAGAAACATCAATAATGATAGCGAGTCATTGAGCGGCTGCTTCCTGCATGCTCCCTCCTGGGGATTGAACCTGCAACCCGGGCATATGCCCTTGACCAGAATTGAACCTGAGATTCTTCAGTCCTCAGGCCGATGCTCTATCCACTGAGCCAAACCGGTCTCGGCTACCCTACTTTTCTTAAGTTTGTGTTATAAAAACAACAGTTATTCCTCTTCCATGCAGATATGTTACTATATTGAATATGACTTCCAAACTGTAGATTGTCCTACGAATCTTAGGAGTCTCTGGAATGTCTTGATGAAGAATCATTTCTCTTGAGCCCTCTCTGCAGTTGGTTAGTTTGTTTAGCTGGGTTCCAGATTTAATTCCAGTAGTCTCGTTAAAAGGATTTGTCCTCAGGCTTACATCAGGCAAGTAATTAAATCAACTAGCATAAAAAAATAGAAGTAATAAAATAAAATAAATCAACTAGCATGAAGTTTGATCAAAGCTGTCAGCCTGGCCGAAACCGGTTTGGCTCAGTGGATAGAGCTTTCGCCTGCGGACTGAAGGGTCCCGGGTTCGATTCCAGTCAAGGGCATGTAGCTTGGTTGCGGGCACATCCCCAGTGGGGGGTGTGCAGGAGGCAGCTGATTGATGATTCTCTCTCATTGATGTTTCTAACTATCCCTCTCTCTCTCTCTCTCTAAAAAATCAATAAAATATATTAAATAAATAAAAAAGCTGTCAGCCTGGCAACTTAGTTAAGTGGAAAAGAGAGAACTTTGTATAGAACTTGTTTCTTGGAATTGGCCCAAAGGAGAGAGAGATATGCTAGCATTTTATTATTTTTATTTATTTATTTTAATATATTTTATTGATTTTTTACAGAGAGGAAGAGAGAGAGAGAGAGAGTTAGAAACATCGATCAGCTGCCTCCTGCACACCCCCCACTGGGGATGTGCCCGCAACCAAGACACGTGCCCTCAACCAGAATTAAACCCGGGACCCTTCAGTCCAAAGGCTGACGCTCTATCCACTGAGCCACACCGGTTTCGGTGCATTTCCTACTCTTAGAGCATCCATTGAGACTCTTATTTGGAATAAACCCCACCATTGCAAAGCCCCTGGGAGTAGTTTTTAAAGGCTCGGCATTGTGGATTTGCTCAGAATAGTCCATCTAGATATAGTGAGATCCTCGGGCAGATTGCCAAGCCTTGAAACCTTTTTGAGGTTTAAAGAGTATTTACTTCAGTTACCGAAATACCTCCGGAAACACATGACAATTTCACCCAAATAATGACAAAGGTGGGGCCCGGCCATCGCACTTCCTTAGATAGTCATACCTTCCCTGGCCATCTGTGCCACTTCCCTGCTCTCTTAGCCACATGAGGATTGTCATTACCCTCATTAGAGAGAGAAGAAGGAAGAGGGAGGGAGAGAGAGAAAAACAGGCTCCCTGCTGAGGACCAAGCCTAGGCATGTGTCCTGACTGGGAATTGAATGGGTGACCACTCAATCATCTAAGCCACACCGACGGTATTTTCTCTTTTTGTGAATATTGCCTTTAAAAAAAATAATAATAGCCGAAACCGGTTTGGCTCAGTGGTAGAGCGTCGGTCTGCGGACTGAAAGGTCCCGGGTTCAATTCCGGTCAAGGGCATGTACCTTGGTGCAGGCACATCCCCGGTGGGGGGTGTGCAGGAGGCAGCTGGTCGATGTTTCTCTCTCATCGACGTTTCTAGCTCTCTATCCCTCTCTCTTCCTCTCTGTAAAAAATCAATAAAAAAAATATATTTTTTTAAAAAAGATCCCTTCAAGCACTCTGTTGGCTCCTGAGTGTTCCCTCCAATTACTGCATCTGGAGGACCAGAGGGGACGGGGTGGGCGTGTGACTGATGAGAGGAGAGGGAGGGGCCGCCAGGGGAGGACTATTACGGGAGGTGATAACAGCTGTATCTGTACACAGTGGCTCAGCAGCGACAAGAATGCCGGGAGGTTTCGATGCCAGGGTGGGAGATGAGAAGCAAGGAGATGGGGGGGGAGAGCCAGGTTAGAGGTCCCTGCCCTGGGTGTCACGCTCCTGGGGGCTCAGCATGACAAGCAGCTTCTCCTATACGCTTCCCCTTTAAGGGGCGGGGGGCTGGGGGCTGGGGGAGGAGTGTCACAGGGCCAGCAGGCAGCAGTGCCACACTGAGCAGTGTTTCAGGGAAGCATCCAGAGTCCACCTCTCTCCCCCAGGAAATGGTTGACTCCCTTGGGAGCAGGAAATTGGCTTTAAAAAAAAAAATTATTATTATTGACTTCAGAGAGGAAGGAAGAGGGAGAGAGAGAGAGAGAGAGAGAAACATCCCTGATGCGAGAATCATGGAGGGGCTGCCTCCTGCGCGCCCCCTGCTGGGGATGGAGCCTGCAACCTGGGCATGTGCCCTGACTGGGAATCGAACCGTGACCTCCTGGTTCATAGGTCCGTGCTCAACCACTGAGCCTCTGTGATTATCTTTTGTCGCCCCTCCTTCAGTGCCTCCATAGTGCTCTGAACAGTATTGGGTAGTAAACATTTCAGCCGGAGAAGTGTATTTTCCTGGAGCACAGCTTTTTTGCTCGTAAAGCAATGCCACCGACCCAGAGGTTCCTTCTGGGACTTCTCCTTGGGAGGGCCAGTGTTGAGTGTG